TACTTTACTCAGATGTTTAATTCTGAAAAGATTTAAAGGTATGTGCAATCAGCAGAGCCTTGTCGGCCACAGACCTCTGTGGATGATGGGACCAGATATCTATTAAACATCTGGCAGCTTTCATTCCGTGGAGCAGAACAGGCATGTAATATTAACTGCTGGCCTGGGAGTCATGCTTTATTTCTGAAGAACTCGATGGGGCAAGCGACATGTCATTACAAATGAACACAAACCATTGTATCAGGAAAAAGTTTTATTTAAAATGTTAATTACTACAGTAAGTGCAACCAACATAAATTATACAACATAGGTGAACTGCTTGTATAATTTCAAAGGAAAAAAAAATTAGTACATTTGGCACTACAATTCTCATATTTTCCTACACTATGGTATTTGCATTACTGGCACTGACATATAGAATAGCACCGAAACTGGTGACCACTTAAAAGATGCTTTAATCCATGAGCTGCAGGAGCCGCTAACAAAGACACTGATGGTGTACGAACTGTTTTGTTAATACTTTGCACAATATTTTTATCTCTTCAAAAAGCAAAGATACCTACAAAAGTATAAGTTCATACAGTGACACTTTATCAGCTAGAAAACAGGAATGATGTAGTATCGTTCCATTTTTCTTTATGCTTACTTGGGGGGAACTTAGCATAACTCATGGAGTAATGCTGTATACCACAACTTCCAATGACAGTGTAAGACAAATGACTTCAAATTAAGTTTTTATATTGTAACCAACCAAACACGTTGATATATCAACTTACAGAAGCTTTTTGTCTTGTTTTAAATGGGAATTCTGACACTGAAGTTGAATAGTTTAAAGTTGCTATGAAGCCAGCTGGCTCAGTGAGAAATAAAGTTTAAAGCTAACACTTCTAGAAACATTTTGTACAAATTCAGATGCAAACACCTGTGATGCGCAGTGGGCAGAAGAATTGTACCGACCAATGAAAAATTCCTCTTCTGAGATAAAGCTCCAGTTCCACATAACTAGTTACCATTCCTGGTAACTACATAAAGCTATGAGATATCAGCCCTTAAACTTACCAGTTCAGCACCAGTTCTCTTATTCTGGAATCAAGAAAGAGTAATTTTGTTTAACGGAAGTTTCTCATGGGGATATTGCCACAGTCCCGGTATATGCTGGGATAGGCTACACCGAGCACGCTGCTGCTTTCTCTCCATTTTGCGTTCTGCCTACAAATGTGTGTTCACCACTTTCAACCACCAGTCCTCCGATCAGCGCCTAGATAACATCTCTCGAAAAAACAACAACAAAAACCAGAAAATCATAGAGGTATTTGGTCTAACAAACATACCGATACTATTTAGCCATGAAACAATACCTTATTTAAGGTCAGTTTTCTCATAATCATCATAGGAATAGATACATATCAGTGGAAAGACAGTATTTCTGGTTTTGCTATTTGTTCTTGGCCCTTAAAAGTCCCCATACTTCAAATCTTAACCATGAAGGTATATTTTAAGATAACCTTTAAAGTTTTTAAAGAATAGGCTACTTTTTAATTCTCCCCCCCAGTTTTTCATAGTCAGATTTATGCTTTTTCAGTTTGGGGTAAAAACAATTACTATTTCTCAATCATGCATTAAAAATGTTATTGTGTGCTTGGATAAGGAAACAAGAACTACTGCAGTTGGAAAGTTCCTATTCCAAAGTAGGAAAACAAATGTGGCATCTTTTATCTGAACAGATGTGTTCCTAATGTATTTTGAACAGTAACTTCCTACTTGAATTAAAAAAAAAAATCAGCACAAACCCCCTTGTATTTGTTTATTTTGTTTCTGGTATAAAATACTTCCAGTGTGAGAACAAGTATGCGACGAATTATCTTCTTAAGAATCACTAGCAATTTTTTTATTAAATTCCTGTCACTTATAATTCCCAAAACCCATGTTGGCTAAGTGTCAGAAAGCATAAATCAAAAGCAATACGTAAGACACAATCTGACTTAAACCTTTAGTATTTGCAATGACACATGACAAGAAAAAGATCTATGGTGCTTCTACAGGAAGGACAGTTCATAAATTGCCCTTATAAGCTTGAGCATGTTTCAAAAGAAAACCCCAAAGGAACAGAAAATAAGCATGCCATTATACAGAATGGTTTTCTAAAATTTCACTATTTAAAGTACCATAGTGAAGCAAATTTGTTGGGAGAAAAAAAATCACTAGCCAGTTAGGCTTTGCTCAAAATTAAAGAAAACTTTGAGAGCCAGGATGTCTTCCCATGCACTGTAGCGGTTTTGAGAATGAGGAAAGAAACACACAGCCTTTGCAGGGTCAAAAAATCTCTCTACTTCGTCCTGAATATTAGACATGATGTGATAGATACTGAAAAGAAAAACCTGGCAAGTGAAAACATATTCAATAAGGAAGAGACTGAGCTAAAAGGTCTGGATTCCTAACCCATGGACATTCAAATCATGAAATGCTGGATGGGCTTCTTTCGTAACCTGGGAAAAGAAGAAAAAAGGCTAGCAAAAAGTTCTTCCTGTGAAACTTACTCAGAATTATTTCCGGAAAAAAATACCTTACTAATCAAGCATGTACTGCTTGAAATAAAGCAGTTGCAAATAACCAAAACAGAAACTGTCCACTTCACTCAAGAAGCAGACAAACTTCTGTCCAGCCTCAGAAAACGATGCAACGACGATTTAGGACACAATTTTAAATCAAGTTAATCTAAGAACATCCTTGTTTGATGACAAGATAGTGCATGTCTGCAGAAGTCAGCAAGTTCTAGAATCTGACAACTCTGACTTCCACCATTTTTGCTTCAAAATTTTTAATTTTTAATGCAATGTACTATGACGCCTTCCCCTATAAGTAGATTTTTAGGTGTAAGTACCTAATCTTTCAGTTACTCTTCTAGCTTACCAAGACTGCCTATGCAACTGCCATTTCTCACCAAAAAAAAAAATCTCACCAAAAAAATCCAAACAGCTTACCTTGCCATAACCGTATTCCAGCACGTTATTGTTCATAGCATGTTTTCCCAATGAGCAAGTTATAATTCAGAGCTGCTCACTTGATTTTAGAAGGTATTGGCAAAATTCATTCAGATTATCTAAAATATCGCTCTCCTGCCCCAAATGTGAATTCCCACGCCAGCACAATGCAGTTGCCACTATAAAAAGATTATTCTTCATAAAGCCCAGCCTCAGCTAACTACAAGAGCTAGGAATTAAGATGCTTATAGCGATGTTCCTTTGACTGAGCCAAGCCTTATCCCTTCTCTTCAAGGTTTCTTCAGACTGCGAGTGTGCTTTTGAGGCAAATCTGCCGATCACCTCCATGCACAACACTGTGCTTCATGCTCCAGAGCAGGCTTGGAGCACACTTCATATTCTCTAACTGCTAAAAAGCAGGACCAAATCAGAGTTAGATCAAAGTAACACCTCTCCATGAAACTGAACAGGGACTCAGCACAAACTACCATACCATGCTACCTGCTCATGTTGACACAGCCACTAAAAACAAAGCTTCCACGAAAGCTATCTAAATTCTGCGTTCTGGTGAGAGAAAGGAGCATGGCTTGTACACTGCTTTAATCCAGAAGTGTATGCAAAGTGTGTGCAGTTGGATACAACTTCACATAACACAGCTTCCAATGTATTTATTAAATTTGCAACACAATATTTTGGGCATTATCTTCTTTCTCTCATCATCCTTTACAGCCTTATATACCCTTCATATCTAGGCATTTCCTCCTGCCCTTAGACACTTAATTTACCCCACTGGCAACATCTCAGGAAAACAAAAAATGCCAACAGGAAAGAAAGGCAAGTCATTGAATGGACGGGTACGCAGTCTATTCTGTTTTCAGTATGCTTTCCAACACCTTCCTTTCATTCTGAATTTGTATGCTGTTGAGGGAGAAGAATCTTTAAAATGGGAATTATTCCTAAAGAGCATCTTAATCACCCTGACGAGCCCCTCCTGGAGCTGGAGCTACGTTCAACTGCATCTTCACTGGCAGCTTTGTCAGGAACCTACTGGGCAGGACGGTGCGGAGAAAGAATGAAAATTCATTCTTTGATGTACTATAGGTGACTTAGTCCTCTGATTGCCGTTTGCTTAAAACAAAACAAAGCCTTTAATTCGTGGTAAAACGTTAACTATTGCTTTTGGCAGGTTTCTAAATACAAGCAAATAAAAAAAAGGGGGGGG